GAGGAAGGCCGTGGTGATTTCCATATGGACAATCACCCATCCACAAACAGCTGGCAAGGAGAACTTGCACTGTTGGCGGCTTCACTGTTGCAACAAATGTTTCCTTATAGTCCTCCCCTTTCTTCTGCTAATACCCCCTTACAACCAGGTTGTTTTTGTAGGCTGACACGGCTCCTTTGTTGTCAGTTTTGATCCTGGGAATCCAGCCACAATTTATGGCTTTCTTCCCCATTGGTAGCGACACCAACTCCCAAGTCCCATTCTCTATTTGGGTGTCGTATTTAGCGTCCCGTAACACCAGCCACTTGTCCCTGTGTGGTCCGTTCAAAGCCTCCTCCATGGTCAATGGCTGAGTCGGTGCACGTGCCATGAGCAGTACACTTCCTCCTCTTTTTCCTCATCAGAATCACAGCTGCTCTGCAGCACCAGCAATGCGTCATGTTGCTCCTTCTTTCCCCTTACTCCCCCTTCACCACCAAGCTTCAACACGGCAGCTCGCATCTGCCTTCTGATCATGGGTTAAAAGGTTTGACCTGTGGGTGGGGGTTTGGTTTGGGTCCTCCTTTGGGGGAGAGTGGGGTGAATCACACGTATTATGGGATGGGTTCTTTAAGGTTCTGCCGTTGTCTCCACTCTCTTGACCATGGGAAGCTTTGCTGCACCCTCCTCCTCATGTGCCGTTGCAATGTCCTCCCTAGTCCACTCTTCCTCCACCTCAAACCCCATAGTTGTCTGCTGCAGCTGCTGCACGAGCTGCTTGGCTGCTTGGACCAGCTCCCGTAGGTGATGTCCTCCATGAGCTTGACATCCCTATTGTCGAACATGACTCCCTTGCTCGGCTCCCATAGCAGCCACCCCTCGCTTTTCGTTGCCACACCCAAGTGCACACACCAAACTGTCAGAGTTTATATTTGTAACTGCCTGTAGCTGTAGTTAGTGTAGTTATTACAAACTGTGTTAGGTGGTGCACCTTTGTTCACTTGCATATATGTGATTGCAAACCTATAGTGAACACCACACTTTTCCCGAAATTCTCTCGACACCCTTGGCACACAACCAACCCGATCCTCCTTGGCCTAGGCTACTAAGCCTAGGCCGAACTATTCTCTAACTACCTATTGTACTAGTTTCACGACACAAACAGCCATTGCACCCGGGCTGTTGCAATGTGCCTTGGGGATGTGAGCCATAGCCATGCAGCCAAACACACGCAGCATGTCAATGGGCGGCTTCCTCCCAAGCCACCTCTCCATGGGGACCCATGACTCACCATCGACATTGGTGAACAACCTATTCTTCATCACCATGACGTGACGCACAGCATGTGGCCACTTTGAGTTCCCCAAACCTGACTCAATGAGAAGAGCACATGGCGTCTCCAAGACGGTGCGGTTAGCCCGTTCTGCTATGCCCTTGGATTGCGGTATGTAGGAGGTGGTGAGCTCCTGAATGATGGAGGTTATGCCCGGCTTCTTTAACCATGCAGTCAGATCCTCCCCAAGAAACCCCTTTTAGTCCTGATCCACATCATCTTGTGCCCCAAATGCCTCTCAACCAACGGCAGCCACTCATCACGGATAATCCGTGGATCGTGGCCCTTCTTCTTGATTGAATATGCCCAGGTCATCCGACTCCAATCATCCACAATGGTGAAAAAGTATTTTTCACCATGTTCACCTAGCACAGGTAGTGGCTCCACCACATTCATGTGCACTAGCTCCAGCAGCTTCTTGCCACCACCCTTGGTTGCATGGAATGGGAGGCGGGTGAACATGTTCAGCATGCAAGTCTCACACTTGTGAGTTGCTGCTGCACCTACCAGCTTCAGCCCCTTAACCCCCTCCTCCTTGTGTAGTTGCTGCAGTGTGGGCATAGAAATATGCCCGAGGCGACATTGGGTTGTAATCCAGTCCGTTTTATCTCCCCTTGCTGAAACCTTCAGCTCCTCTACAGCTACAGCATTGCACTCCCTAAGCATCACTCCCCTTGCCCTAAGGTACCACAGACAACTGCCACATTCACTGCAAATATCCCTATTCTGCTGCAGGTCCCAAAGCACCCGCTTTCCCATTCGCCCCTTGAATGTCTTGGCACCATCGGTAGATGTGCTGACCACACCGAAATCACGGACCCCCGCCTCCCAGACCACCTCCTACGCTGCGGCACCGGCAAGCATCGCATCAACACCCACAACGAGCTCCGTGATGCTTGCATTAGCATGGCACAGGACGCGGGTTTCATAGTCCACAGCGAGTCGGCCGCCCATTGTCCCATCGAGGAGCAGACGGCTGATTTCACCATGACCGACAGAAGCAGTGGGGCGGTTTGGGTGTGCGATGTGACCGTGACAGACCCCATCAGTACTCGGGACCCACAGGCGCAGAAAGGCAGGGGATGGGCGGCCAGGGAGCAGGCAGACAAGAAGATTCAGCACTATGCGAACAGACCTGAGACAGTCGGCTTCTTTCGACTGGCGGTGGAGACCTACAGCTGCCCATGTGCAGAGGTCCCCGTCTTCCTTAAACTCCTGGCATACACAGCGGCTCGGCGCCACTTCAACGCCAATTCTAACTCCTATCATGCCGCTAAGTTTCTGCATCAGTTCAGGCAGCGGTGGTCAGTTTCTCTTCAGAGAGCACAGTCGGTGGGCCTCCTCATGAAATTGGGTGAGGCGGCAGCAGCTGAGAACCCCCCGGTGGGGGGTATTGGCCGTGAACTACACCTAGGGGATTGTTTTGTTGTTTTGGAGCCACTGGTGGAACTCTAGAGGGATTAGGCTGAAATTTGCATGCTTCTGAAACTATATGTGTGTACCTTTCTGCCATATCAATATACGGACCATTAGAGAGAGAGAGAGTAAATCAGTGTACGTGCCGGGCATAAATTATTACGAACGCTACAATGTGGTTCAAAACTGTCAAATGCCAAAAGATACAATATGTTCTCACGTTTTTGTTAGTTTGTCAAGGTGTGCAAGGCTCTCTTCTGTATGGTATGGCCGTAGCCACACCTCGCAGTGCCAGTAGACGTATAGCGTGACTGTTCGTGTAATGTCCGTCTTGACATCAAGCATCTCTAGAATCACAGGTAACACTTGCATAACTGCAGCGTGTTCAAAGGCTTGGAATGTCCCTTTGTTCGCGAAGTATTGTATCGCGTATGAGGGAAGGCAGAACATAAATTGGCGACTAGAGTCCGTGATCCCACGCAGAGCATCATCCAGCCGATCGAGCAGTCTAGGTACCTTCGAGCGCAAGCAATCGATGATATGATTGAACACTCCAAGGAGTGATAGATGCATGATGTCTCCCATGAATGCGCGATAAGGATTTCCCCACGACGTATTCCCATTGGGGAACCCCCATATCGCCACCTGCAAATATGAGCAGTTGAGTGTGTATGCGAGATGATTAGTGAGATTGTAGGAAACTAGAACGTAGCAATCGAAGGCAAAGAACAAGTCGGGACATGAATAGTGTTTCCAAATATGGAAAGACAATGGTGCATACATTGATGGCGTGTGTACTCTCCGTCGTCTCTGCGGATGCAAGCACACGATTTGAGCTTCGATGCACCTTCATAATCGATTTGGTGAGGACTTGTCCTTGCTCTGTGTGATAACAGTGTTCATCTTCCACGTTTGACATGTTCACATTCGTTACTTCACATCTCAGGCACGGAAACTGGGTTTGATGACCCGCCTTTGTCCCAACGATCTTGTATTGCTCTGGATAGTCTCCCACATAGGCATACAGAAGGGGTCAAACAAAACGTAGGAGACTGTATGGATCCTTCAGAAAAGCACCTATCTCCTTCTTCTCCTTCTGCTCTGCCAGTACGATTTCAAGCCGGCGCCGTGTGGCGTCCACTCGTGGTTACACTTGGTGCTTTTGCAACGGAGGTAACAAGGCCGTCATCCGCCTGTCATTGGGCTTCCACCTGTTTTTAGAAGACGTGTTCCCTAGGGCGACATATGCAGGATGTCCCAAAGCTCCGCCATCCTTAGCAAGCATAGTTTCGTCTAAGTACACTATGACAGCCACTATAGACGCCCGTGGAAGATCTTCAACTGCTTCTCTCCAGAACGTGCCAGTTGATGGATCTGTATATCGATGCGGTGCCTCATCCGATGCGGTCTCCTCCGAAGCATCCGTCTCAAGTGCAATTATGAATTTGTCAGCATTGGCAGGATCATTGTACATGTCAACCACGCGAGCTTACGTTGCACGCCACCATAGAATAGCCTCTCTCTTGTCCTTGCTTGGGTCCATGATGACAAGCCTTTGAAATGGTTGTAGCACTGCCCGTTGTGTAAGGGATGCCTCAAGCTTGTCAACATCTACGACGGTCTTTAGCGTAAGTTGCGCTCCTTGATCGACTCTCTTGAGAGGCTGCTACCACCGTTTCCTGTTTTACAAAAAAAAAAATCCAAAAACGACGATCTATGGCTGTGTATTGTTCTGCTTCACTGCTTGCTCGTTCAAGGTGGGGCTCTTCGACACACGGCATTGGCGTAGGTGGTGCTGCGTCCTGTGACGACGTACTAGGGCTTGGTGTTGTAGGCTCTGGATTGTTGCGTGTGGTGGTAGTAGCATAGTCATGCCTAAAACTGCGAGCATGATTAGCCCGTTCAGCTTGTAATGCGAATGTAACAATGCAGTCAGGCTCAGGACATGTTATTTTAAGCCGGTTTCTACCGTTTATTGCTAGATGAGCTAGTTGATCCCGAAATTCTGTAGCATATGTTGAATAAAGTACCAAAGCTTTACAATTGACCTTCAAAGCACATATACAAGCACTGCTATATCAAACCAACAGCTGATGGATGCACCTGTCATGCTGCTATAGTCAAACATGAGGGCTAGGCTGGAGTAATTGGCTGGAAAAGTGTCACGAGAGGGGCGGGCCAAGAGGCAGGTGCAAGGGCAGGGTGTGTTGAGGAATATTTGAGGACAGGGAGGGATGAGGAGGGTGTAAAGGGTAGTATTGGACGCGGTGGTATGAACTGGGGGAGATGTGATGAATGGGGTGCGTTGTCGCAAAGTGGGAAATGCAAGAATGCGGAGGAGGTGGGAATGGGTGGGGGAAGATGGGATGAATGGGGGGGGGAGGAGGGCGGAATGGGGAGGTGGGATTGGCTGGGGGAAGATGGGATGAGTGGGGGGATGGGGGAATGGTGGGAGGGCGGAATGAGGACGAGGTGGGATGGTGTGTGGGGAATGGGATGAATGGTGAGAGGGCGGAATAGTGAGGAGGTGATTGTCTGGGGGGAGATGCGATGAATGGCGGTGGGAGGGCGGAATGGGGAGGAGGTGGGATGGCTGGGGGAGATGAGATGAATGGCGGTGGGAGGGAGGAATGGGGAGGAGGTGGGATGGCTGGAGGAGATGAGATGAATGGCAGTGGGAGGGCGGAATGGGGAGGAGGTGGGATGGCTGGGGGAGATGAGATGAACGGCGGTAGGAGGGCAGAATGGGGAGTTGGTGGGATGGCTGGGGGAGATGAGATGAATGGCGGTGGGAGGGCGGAATGGGGAGGAGGTGGGATGGCTGGTGGAGATGAGATTAATGGCGGTGGGAGGGAGGAATGGGGAGGAGGTGGGATGGCTGGGGGAGATGAGATGAATGGCGGTGGGAGGGCGGAATGGGGAGAAGGTGGGATGGCTGGGGGAGATGAGATGAATGGCGGTGGGAGGGCGGAATGGGGAGGAGGTGGGATGGCTGGGGGAGCTGAGATGAATGGCGGTGGGAGGGCGGAATGGGGAGGAGGTGGGATGGCTGGGAGAGATGAGATGAATGGCGGTGGGAGGGCGGAATGGGGAGGAGGTGGAATGGGCTAGGCACAAATGGCATGAATGTGGTGGGAGGGCGTCACATGGGAATGGATCGGATAAGGGAGATGGTATACGGGCGGAGAGAGATGAATGTGACGGCGGGTGGGATGGGACGCATGTGGTAAGAGGGAATGGTACGAGCAAGGAAAGGGATTAATGTTTTGGGCGGAAGGGATGGATGCATGTTGTAGGATGGGATGGGATGAATGTTGTAGGAGGGGATGGTGGGAAGAAGGAATAGGGGTGATGGGCGGAGGGGGTGCGATGACCGTGGGATGGATGAAAGAGGCGGTTTTCAGATATCGCGATGGGGAGTGGGGTGAACGGCAGAAAGGCGAGGAACTTGGATGGCGCACACGCGACGCGGTAGGATGCCGGAATGGGGAGGAAAAGGGATTGAGGAAAGGCGAGGAGGTACAGACGCGGATCGGTGAGGAGATGGGATGGCGCATACGTGAAGAGGAGGAACAACACCAGAGCGACGGGATGAGAGGCACCAAGGCGACGGGATGAGAGGCGCCAAGGCGAAGAGGTGGAATGACGGTATAGGAGACTCCTTGGCGCAACACGGAGGAAACGAGATGTCGGAGAAGCGAGACGTGGATGGCGTCACGGCGCATAATGGGAGGAGGCGGAATGGCGGGCCAAGGACGAGGTGGTAACCTGGATCAGGCGATGATATGGTATGGCGCGATGGCGACAAGGTGAGATGGCTAGAATGGGAGGAAACGGGGTGGAGGAAGTGAGGAGGTGGAATGACGGACCGGTAAGAGCTGGAAATGAGGATCGGGCATGAAGTGAGTTGGCGGAACGGGTTGGAAGAGAGATGGCGGAACGAGGAGGTGGTAGATTAACCTAAGAAAGAGAGGTCGAGGTCGAAGGAAATATGTGATGTGGAGACGAGGAGTGAATTCAAAGTTTCTGGAGAGAGTTGACGAGGGGAAGTTTTATGGATCTGAATGAATCTGTAGGGGCGTATGGATGAGGTGTGGTTATGCTTTGCTTCGGGGCGCTTCAGAAGAGATGCTTCTCCTGGGGAGAAAACCCACTTGACTAATTTGTTCCAGTACAACAACGCCACGCGACCAGCTCCAAGAATTTATGAACGACGTATGAGGTTGATTGCGTGGTCCTACTGCCACCTGCACTGCAGTCAGAATGCACCTTTCGGTCCTAGATGAATCAGAGATACTCGCCCAGCACTAACAGCCAGGAATGATACATGAAACTAGAAAAGCTCCAGTGCCGTTTGGCCACGTGTGATTCACCACAGGGACAGAGACCAACTGCACTTCAGTAAGGCCGCATATCAATATACAGCATACAAGAGGGTAAGTAATTCTGCTAATGGATGGTAGTGCATCTTTGCCCATATGGAAAGTACATACTAGCTGGAGTCTCTGCATAAGAAACCCTATTCTAACTTGTGTAATTGCAGGAAACGGTCTCGAGTCGAAGAATCACCACATCTATTGCCAAGGTTATAATTCGGTGACCCGACAACACAGCTCGTGGGAGACTGCAGCACGCCGCATGTTGGTGGCCTGCCAACATGTGTCACCAAGCGTTCTGTCAGCGTTGCATCAACATGGTCAACCACGCTCCAGCATAGCAAAGCCGCGGCCCGCCAACGCTGCCAGTCGGCGGCGTGCCAGCACTGCAGCAAGTCGGCTGCACAGCGTTGCACCCGCAAGACATCAGCACACCGGCTTCGCAGGTGCTTGCGGATGATTGGCGTGCTGCGCCTCGTCACCTGCACAGCGCAGGCACCAGATCGTCCTCGTGACTGACGACTGTACCTGATCAGCCGCGTTGACCTCGGGATACCACCACCAAGGTCGGCCTCTCTAAAACCACCTGGGTGACCATCGCGCTCCTCCGCAGACTTCGTCGCTCTGGTTACTTGGTCGACCCGGAAACCACCAGGCCAGCGTCGACTTGCTCGGGGAAAGTCGACCGGAAGTTGTACGTGCCCCTCGACCATCCAAGTCGGCGACCACCACCCGAATCACCAAGTCGGCCACTCAGCAAGCCGGCGCCACAAAGTCGGCGCCTCCAAAGGTCGACCTTGCCAGGTCGACCAACCGAACTCGGCGCCAAACTTGTCCCGCCAAACTACAGGATGCAGCGTACATCAAACATACTGAATAATAACCAGAAACCTAAACCCTAAACATACAAACGGACGTCGAAATAACATCACGTGTCGCACGGGCCTATCCTTGCACATTCTTCCCGGCTCGATTGTTTGAAGGAGAATATATCCATACCAAATGCGACAAATGGCACCAAACTTGTCAGGTATGCTTGCAATATACTAAATGTTGTGAACGATTGATTGGAACCTTGTTTTACAAATCGAGGTGACGTTCGAAAGGTACCACACGTCTCATAGGCCTATCCTTGCACAATTTTCCCAGCTAAATCGTGTGAAATAGCATACCTTCCTACTATATGCGTCGAATAGCACCAAACTTGTCCTGCGTGCCTAACATATTTTAAATGCAATAAATGATTCAACAAAATCATGCCTAAATAAACAAGCGGACGTTGAGACGGTAGGACGTGAGGCACACGCCTATCCTTGCATAGTTTTCCCTGTTCAATCGTCAAAAGCAGCATATCTTCCTACTATATGTAGCGAATGATACCAAAGTTGTCCTACATGCTTTCAATACAGCAAATGCATTGAATGGTGTGAACAAAATGAATTGGACATCGACACGGTAGCACGTGTCGCCAATGTGAAAATGAACGAGGAATGAATTGACTAGCAAAAAGGTGGGTACAAGTAGGAAACCTAGAAGTGTTGTACCCCATATTGTCTACCCCACTACAGCCTACACAGGGAAAATCATATATGTTTGACACACCCCCATAGGCAAAGTGGGGGAGAACGAGAGGTCACATGACAAATCAAGCAAAGCAAGGCAAGCTCAGGGTGGACCACGACGTCACCACGCATTCTGAGCACAAGAACAAGGCCACAAGGCCAGACTCAGATTCCCCAGGCTCCACACGCTCCGGCTCAGGACCCCCAGACCCAGCACCCGCAGGCTCAGCACCCCTAGCAAGACCATAGTCAACCGCTACCTCGAAAGGCTCGACTGCATCTACCTGGGACACACCAGAGGGGGCAGGACCTGAGGGGGGAGGGGGTCTACCGGGGGAGGACCTGGCGCGAGGAAGAGCGGCCGGGGGGGGCAGGGAGGTAGTGCGGTAGGGGAAGAGACGGTAGTAAGGAACTGACTCGTCAAACGTGACGTCCTGAGAGGAAAGAACACGGCGCGAGGTGGGGTGGTAAAACTGCCAACCAAGCGCGTTAGTGGGGAAGCCAAGGAAGACGCAAGGGACAGCACGGGAGGACAGCTTGTCCGTAGACAAGTCGCGAACGAAAGCTCGAGATTCCCAGACACAGAACGAGACGCATCGCCAACCTTCCCCATACACCGCAAGGTAAGTGTGGTGTCCAGCATGGAGACACGGGGCTGGAGGTTGATCTGATGCGCCGCATACTGAACCGCAAACGGCCACAGAAAATGGGGAGCAGCCGCATGGATCATGGACGTACGAGCGACGTCCATGACCATGCCAATGCGGCGCTCAGCAATCCCATTTTTCCGTGGAGAGGCCGGAAGCGTGAACGTCTGGCGGATGCCCTCCGCACGACCAAAGGCTCGTAGAAGGTCGGAGGAAAACTCTCCACCTCTGTCGGAGTGCAGACGCAGAACAGGAAGGTCCGAGCCGAAACTCTCGCTGAGCTGACGACGGGCAGCGCGGATCCAGTCGATCAGCACCTCAGTCACCTCACCCTTGCGGCGCAAGGGGAAGAATGTGGTGTAATGCGAGTAGTCATCAACGACCACCAGAAAGCAGCGCTGGTGACCCTGGCCACGGACGCGGGCTGGGCCCCACATGGCCATGTGTAGAGTCTGCAGGGGAGCCTCCGTTGGAGGGAACTCGGAGGAGTGAGGAGCGGGGCGCTGCTGCCCCTCGACGCAAGGAACGTAGGTAGGGGCAGGACTCGGGGGAAGGGGAGGGAGAGACCTGGAAGACCAGTGACTAGGACACGGGAGGCCATGCCTCAGAGACGAGGCAGGGAGGGGTGACCAAGGTGGTGGTGCCAGAGGAGAGTCTGGTGAGATAGGAGGCGACACGAGCAGGGGGCAGACTCAGGGCCAGACCGGGACGCTGCAGCAAACACCTGACCCGACGCGGCTATCTGACCAGACTCACCAACCGGAGGAGACACGGTAGTCAGGGTGTACTGGCTCGACCCAGGCTGACGGGTGAACGTGGCCAGGTGCCGGCCCGTCCGAGTATACGAATAGTGGGTCACCCGCTAACCTCCAGGAGTGAACTGGTCAACCGACGCGTCCTGAAGGTCAGCTCCACTCACCAAGTTCGTGGAGAACGAGGGGAGTTTGAGGCCAGACAGAGAGCCAAACGGGATTGCCGGACACGGCAGAACCGTGGAGGAGTCTGCAAGGACCGGACCCCCAGAGGGGTCAGCCAGAGAGATGGCCACCGCCCGACTGAGCGGCGTGAGTGTGGAGCAGACGCGAAAGAAGGAACCGGAAGCTCCTAAGTCAAGCGTGAAGGTGTGCAAGGCCGCAGCAGGCGCAGTACCAGAGAGAGCAGACTAACCAGCACCTGGAGCAGGAGGCTCACTGTCAACGAGAGTTGTGTTTGGCCCCGTCCTCGGTTGGGCGGAGCCGATCGCGGGAGGACCGCAGTGGCCGCGAAATTGCGGGAGGACCGCAGGGGCCGCGAAACCGCGGGAGGACCGTGGGGGCCGCGAAATCGCGGGAGGACCGCGAAATACCCGGTCAACCAGGATATCCGGGCGACGTGCGCGAAATTCGCTGGGGGGTGTTGTTAGCAAGGACGACCTCGGGGTGGTATCCCGAGGTCGACGTGGCTGGTGGGCGCCGTCACGGGTTGAGTGTCTGCGCTGGGCATGTGACGGGAAGTTGGGCGCCAACCAGCTGCATGCACCTGTGAAG